TCACCCTCAGAGGGAAGAAGTTCTTCCTCATGTTCAGACGGAACTTCCTGTGCCTCAGTTTGTGCCCATTGCCCCTTGTCCTGTTGCTGGGCACCACTGAAAAGAGTCTGGCCCCATTCACCTCACACCCACCCTTTACATATTTAGAGGCATTTATAAGGTCCCCTCTCAGCCTTCTCTTCTTCAGGTTGAACAAGCCCAGCTCCCTCAGCCTCTCCTCATAGGAGAGATGCTCCAGTCTCCTCACCATCCTCGTAGCCCTCCGCTGGACTCTCTCCAGTATCTCCTCATCTTTCTTGAACTGGGGAGCCCAGAACTGGACACAGGACTCCAGATGGGGCCTCACTAGGGCAGAGGAGGGGGAGGAGACCCTCCCTCGTCCTGCTGGCCACACTCTTCTTGATGCACCCCAGGATCCCATTGGCCTTCTTGGCAGCCAGGGCACACTGCTGGCTCACGGTCAACTTGTGGTCCACCAGCACACATAAGGACAAGGGCTACCAATCCAGAAACTGCTCCTAACTGCCTACAGAATAAGTCATCAGTACTTGCATCCTGGCTGGGCAACCGGTAGCAGACACCCACTACAACATCTCCACCCTCCTAATCCTGGCCCAGAGCCTCTCAACCACACCACCACTAACAGTAAGGGCTGTGAAATCAAACCCCTCCCTTATGTACAGCACGACACCTCCATCTCGCCTGCCCTGTCTGTCCCTCCTGAACAGCCTGTAGCCCTCCATCCCAGCACTCCACTCGTAGGATTCACTCCATTAAGTCTCACCAATACCAGATATTGTAGCTCTGGGAGCTGACCAATGCTTCCAGTTCCTCCTGTTTGTTTCTCATACTGAGTGCACTGGTGTACAAGCATTTTAGACACGGTCCTCAGCGTTCCGTGCTCCCAGGAGCAGTGTAAATGGTCCCATTAGGATTGCAACCCTCAGGCGATTCGATGCCATGCCAACCCTTGTCTTACCTGCTGTAATCCTGTTGGTATCCTCTTCCCCCCCTTCATTTGACTGGATGAACTTGTGCTTTTGTAATAAACAGCATCCTCAGCTTTCAAAATCCATGATTTCACTTCTCCACATCATTCCCAACAGGATGACTAAAGAAACCCTGGGAAAGGCTACTGATAGTTTGCTTATATACAGCATTCTGCTTTCTTTCTTTGTTTTCTCAGATCCCAAAACGTTTTCGTTAAATACCACAGACTTTTCCAAAACAAACACCTAGGTTACGCAGATGAAGAAAAACACAACAACATCTCTCTCTCCTCCTCTTGAGAGAGGTTTTCATCTTTGCATCCCTTCAGACTCGTCAATACTATCGAAAAAGTAGTATGACAGAACTTAAAAGTCACTTGTCAAGAACCTTTTTAGACACCTGAAACACAGAGGTCATACGGATAATCAAATATAACAGAGAAACAGACTGACACTACCACGACAGGCCAGAACGTAGCAGCAATGGGGTCCCCTTGCTGAGGACTGCAGGTACTGCAGAGGTGAGAAGTAAGCTTGACCAACTTCGTAGAACTACAGGATGATATCACAACCAGGCCCCAGCTCTACAGATACAGCACAGCAGATGTTCAGATTGGGGCCAAAAGCATAAAAATTTCCTCACATTATAACTACCCAATACTGTGACAAAAAAAAACCTGGAACAAAAAAACACCACACCATCAAGCAGCATTATATAAAAACTATAAAACCGCTTTCATATCAACAGCTACTACAATGAACAGCATTCATTCAGTACAACTGATCATTTAAAACAGCAATTTCCAACTGAGCCAGGTGACATGAGCTTTGTACAAATATGCTCATCTATAGGCAAATACAAGGAGGAGGTTTGTGTTTAAGTTCTGGAGGCTATTTAAATCATTCAAGTGTACAATAGATTTTTCACAGAATCACAGAATCACAGAATCACAGAATAGTAGGGGTTGGAAGGGACCTCTGTGGGTCATCTACTCCAACCCTCCTGCCAAAGCAGGGTCACCTACAGCAGGCTGCACAGGACCTTGTCCAGGCGGGTCTTGAATATCTCCAGAGAAGGAGACTCCACAACCTCCCTGGGCAGCCTGTTCCAGTGCTCCGTCACCCTCAGAGGGAAGAAGTTCCTCCTCATGTTCAGACGGAACTTCCTGTGCCTCAGTTTGTGCCCATTACCCCTTGTCCTGTCACTGGGCACCACTGAAAAGAGCTTGGCCCCATCCTCCTGACACCCACCCTGCAGATATTTGTAGGCATTTATAAGGTCCCCTCGCAGCCTTCTCTTCCTCAGGCTGAACAAGCCCAGTTCCCTCAACCTCTCCTCGTAGGGGAGATGCTCCAGTCCCCTCACCATCCTCGTAGCCCTAAAGTCAAAAATTTGCAGTGCTGTATGCTCCTTGCATGCCCCTATGAGAGGGTGTGAGGCATAACCAGGACAGAAGTTTGGGCACCTCTATGCTGCTACATAAGAACTAGGAAGAAAAGATGACTGAAGGGTAACGGTCTGCTCACTTTTTCGAGTTTGTTAAATTAGAAGGGGAAACGTCCCTCCCATCTACATTACAGCAAACTGAGTTTGCTGTTTTACCGGATTGCTGTTAGCAAGACTTACAGCAAATCTTGTTGCATAATGTTTTTTTACAGGGTGGATTTGTAATGAATGAACTTCATGGTGGCAGGCTGACAAAGAAGACCAATATTGATTGCAAATGCCAAAAGGCAGAAGAATAGATTGGGGATAGGTGTCAAGTTCTGCTGGGGATGCTATGACAAGTATTAAGCCTGTGTGTTCAGCTCAACGCTACCCAAATGGAAATACCATATTCTAGGCAGTCAGACGAAAGTCAATGGCTCATGAGGGGGCACAGACAATTCCTGTGCATTCTGTACGGGCAGTCAAATTATTTGCATGGAAAAGGGCTTGCTAATTTAGTCCATAAAAGAGGAAAATAAATCATATCCCAAAGCAATGAGCTCTCAAGATCTCCTATGGAGATACCCTGCTGGATTCTGGTTTCATTTGCATCAGCAGAAGTCGCCCAGTTGCAGTCAGCAGAGATGAAAATCAGACCTGCAGAGGTCCTAATGATGATTTCACATTTTGTTGTTAAAAAGATTGTTTTCTCTCATCATGCAACATTTTACTCTCACAGAATCCAAAGCTGGAACTCCAGGACTGTGGGGAGAATGAACAACAAATGCAACCAAAGAAAGCAGCAGGTAAAAGATCAAGATTTTGGGGCAAACATGTTCCGTATTGAGAATGCAGACTGCACGATTCCTTGTTCTTCAGGCTGATGTAAGAGTTGCACCATTAGGAGTGGCATTCAAAGATTTTATACTGAGTATGGCTGAGTTTTAATGTGAATTGTGGGTAGCCATACATGCTGTATTCCTTTCCTCCTTAAATACTTCTCTGTATGCCCCTGTGGCACTTAGCAAGGCAGACATAACACAGCACCACCTTAGAGATTGCTTACTGAAGACTGAAGCAACGAAGGCATTCATTAGCTCTGCCTTCTCCGCATCCTCCGTCACCAGGACACCCGCCTCATTCAGCAGTGGCCACACATTGTCCCTAGTCTTCCTTTTGCTGCTGATGTAGTTGAAGAAGCCCTTCTTGTTGTTTTTGACATCCCTTGCCAGCTTCAATTCCAGGTGAGCCTTGGCCTTCCTCGTCGCATCCCTGCATGCTCTCACTACGTTTCTGTACTCTTCCCAAGTGGCCTGTCCCTCTTTCCACATTCCATGGACCTTTCTCTTCTGCCTGATCTCTGCTAGAAGCTCCTTGTTTAACCATGCAGGTCTCCTGCCTCCTTTGCTAAATTTCTTTCTCAGGGGGATGCATTGCTCCTGTGCATGGAAGAAGTGTTGTTTAAAGAGCGACCAGCACTCATGGACCCCCCTGCCTTCGAGAGCCCTGGCCCACGGGATTTTTATCATATTCTTTTTTGAACTGCTGGATTTTAATACACCAGGATGCATATGGATAGAAAATGGCATGGCAAGGGAAAAGCCCAGTTCAAAAGGAACAGTCTGAACACAGGAGAAAAAAATCAATCCATTTAACAGCAGCCAAAAGTAGGTAATAGAACCGAGAAAAGTGCTCAGTAACAGTTTCATATCCAATATCACACCCTGTTTACAAAAATAATAGCACTAGTCACACCAGAAGAGTATCTGCATGCAGAGGAAACATACTTACAGACAGCTAACACAGAACAGCTGACAACCCTTCAGCTCACACCCTAGCTTCCTTCAGCACAACTTAACGTGTATGTATGCCCACACTCTCAGCCTTCCTCTTAACCTATGCAGTATTACCATTTGGAAAGCAGGGAGCTCACCAACTGTTTATTTCAGTCCCAGCTAGCTGGACCCAGCTGTGGCTGAAGCTGTCTGAATGTGTCTGTAGTTCAGGCCAACAACAGTTCTCACTGGAAGGTATAAAACAAGCCAGAAGAGATGTGTGATGCAGAAGAGAGGTTTGCAATACACAGCCTCCGTGAGGGAGCCATTAGCTTCCAAGCTCCTGTTTTTCTGAGAGACATTGGAAAGACACTCATTTCTCTTGGACAGCACAGCATGACCTCTTCAGCTCTATAAAACTGCAACCAAGGTTCTCACTGATATTTGGTAAAAACTTATTTCTGTTTCTCCAGTTGGGAAAACTATTTTATCTCCTACCTCCTAATACAAGAGAGGATCATCAACACAGTTAACCTAAAGCACAAAAATCACTTACCACATCTAGCAGCATTTCAGTACCCCTTCAAGTACTTTCAAAAAAACCATTAAAATTTCACTGCAGTATAGCTATCTAGAAGATGCTTGATGCCTACCACCTAGTGGATTAGCACAGCACAACCTTTGCACACACACCAAAAAGAAAACCAAAAAAATACCCACCACCAAAACCCCATACAACACCACACTACAACTTTAGGCTGTCTAAAGAAGCAGGATCCACACAGGGCCTCCAGCAATAGAAAGCCATGAAATGCTACCCATCCAGTATCTTTTCTAATTAGACATCAATCTGCATATCAGATTAGAACCAAAAAATAAGTGTATCAAAACATTTTTCTGAATGGCATTGAGAAGTAATTCCATTAGAAATTAAGTAATTCCATGAAAGTCTGAACGCTTCAGTTTATTAATGCTGCTCCAATCTTATGGGAAATTATGTGCAGCCTGTAATCATGGTGATTTTTCATAAGAACCCAATTTCATACATGTGTGAACGAATACATCTCCGGAATTTGTACAGACAAGCTGTCAAACTACTGCCAACCTCTTTCCCCTCTCCACACACATTTGAACAGTCAAAATAAAAGCAAGGATCATTTTTAAAGTTAAAAAGAAAAAAAGAAATTATTTCCAATAGCAAAGGCCAGAAATACCAGCTTGCTGTTTCTATCGGTAAAGTCCTCTGCAAAAGTTCTTACTGCCTCTAGAGAGCCTGTTTCCCCATCTACTTCCCCACTTTCTGTTGTTGCTAAAAACATGTGCTTCTGCAGTGTTTAACTTTCACCTTTAACAAAATACGCTTTAAACGTTTTACGGTTTGCTACACCAGTCCAAACTACACAGCCACTGTAACAGAATGGGCTAGGGAAGTGCACAATTCGACCACAAAAGCCAGTGACACAACGTACAGGATAACTGCATTGACTTTTTAATTGTAGGTTCTCTCATTAAAACCTGTCTCCTACTAAACATTCTGTGTTGTGAAGTCTTGCTAGTCACCAAACACAGCACCGTAAGAGGAAAGCTGCTGCTCAAATCCAGGACCTAGATAATAATCTGCCACTAGAAACAAAACATCAAGGAAACCAGGATCACAAGTAACACTGAGAACTACAGGTGTCAGATGTACAACAACTCAGAAGTGTTATCTAAAGCTTCATCTGCTGCTGTTGAGGTCTCCACCTATAAAACTTTTAGTATTTGAGAAATGCCCTCCACAGGTTCTCAGTGTTTCAGAATCAATACCGATAAAAGCAGTCTCCTTACCTGTAAAGTTCTTGAGCGCTCAGAGAGAGGCAGTTGATCCACTTCCAAAATTAATTCTTCCACTGATGAACACAAGTCCTGCTGCACCTCATCTCTCTTGGTAATCAATTCATCTCTTTCATCCTATGCAGAAGGAAAAGCAAGTCAGCAACTCATACCCAAAAGCCACGTACACAACGTGGAAAGTGATACAAAAAAGCGTCAATCCCTGCAAAGTATGAATAGTACAATACCTGCCTGACTAGGAGTGAGTGAAAAAGCAAATTTTGTTTTTAAACTCTGCTCCTATGATGTGACCACCTTGCAGAAATACAGTGTCCTTTACAGTGTAAAAATATGACTACATTATCCAACAACTAAAGAAACCGTTACTGCATGACTGCTGATAACAGTGGGAGTCCTAACTGCCACGGTAAACTTAAAATGTCCCAGTTGTACTGCAGTTTTTGACTGTATTACAGAAATTCGAGTTTGGATTATCCACACTTCCATATATTCCAAATTACATCCACAAAGTCAGATTACAAAAGATTTCTTGCTGGAGAAGAATACTCTAGATCCTAAAAAATCCTTTTACCAATTTTTTCCTTGCCTTCTGGAATGAAAGACAGGTGACCCGTAAACTCCCTGCTGGTTATCTGCAGTAAAATCATTAAACTAAAGCTAATTCTAGAAACGAAACCAAAGTTTTCCTTGGATGACTGGCAGGATTAGTTCTGCTAACGGGAGAGGAACCCCGCATTCACATCAAAGCGGGTACCTAACAGACTCACCAAAATCAAATCTTCTGAAATGGATGAAGCAAGTTACTCAGCAGCATGTTTGCAGTGTTCTTGGGTGATTTAACCCAACATGCCCACAGAAATATGAAAATATTTATGAGCATGGAAGCTACAATACACTGTCCTGACACACACTCCCTTCCCCACCTCAGGCAGGAAAAAAAAAAAAAATCTTGGAAAGTCTAGTGTGGGAGGCAATTAGTAAAGAAACAGAAACAACAGAAGAGTTAACCATGGCATCAACACCAGCTTCACATGAAGCCAAAGAACAGTCAAATGAACACTTCCTACTAATAAGCAATATATAAGTATATATGCAATATAAATATGTATACACAAACATCGGTTCTCAGAGTTTTTAAATTTAGTTTATTCAGTGAAAGCTTAGAAGTTGACTTAATCGGGAGTTTGTAAGTGTCCAGGGAAGATAGACTAGAAACCTTTTGCCCGTAACAGACAAGGGCAGAAAGCGATCTAATGGCTGGAAACTGAAAGATGGACGAACTCCAACTAAAAACAAAACAAGACCCGAAGTTGCAGCATACACTGCTTTGAAACTTAGATTAGCAATTGAACAGATGATGTAATTCAGCCAGACGTTAGTGGGCTGGATAATAAAAATCAGAGGATTAAGTTCTACTATAGAAGGTGACCACAACATACTGCTTCAGTGTTCATGAAACGGCAACAAAAAGACTTAATAGGCATTTCAGCAATTTTGGGGGATCTCTGGTGACCACAAGCACACACAATTTTTACAGACTTCCTGCTGTTTTTCCTGCGTAAGACAGGTGCTAATTTGCAAATTAATATTGTAACACACTGAATAAAAAGGAATAAGAAGGAATAAGAACCCTTGTCATAAAGAACACATTTCAAGACAAGATTTATGCAGAGTATCACTTCAAAACCTAGAGCAACGGAGACACTGTAGTAGAAGATTCAACAAGGCAACCAAACTCCAACTAATACCAGTTCAAGCACTAGAGTAAATTTAACAGTCTACGCGTGACTAAATGACAATCCAGAAACCCAACAGACAGCTCAAGAGCCACAGGACAAGCCACAGGATGAGTCTCCTTCCAATGTCTGCCATTTAATTGGGTACATGTGACAGTTCATGGCCTGTTAAACAGTAACTTCAGAGAGCATTAAGTACACAGGCAGTATTTTAATAGTCTGCTTTACAAAGATGTAAGCTCATCACAACACCAAACAGAAGAATTAAACTCCTTTAGAACAGGCTAAAGGCTTCTCAAACTACAAAAAAATAGTTTATTTTGTGTCTGATCCATCTTATAACTCTCAAAAAAAAAATAAAAAAAAAAAAAAAAACCCCACACCAACATAACTCCACAGACTCGGTCATACCAAATGCCAAGCTAGCTTACCATCTTGTTTCTGGTAACTATAGCAATGCTTATGGAAGTCCATAAGAGCAGAATACGTGTAGTGCAATCACCTCATCAATGCATTCTTGCTTTAATGTAATTTAATGATCTCATAAACAAGAGAAAAAAAACTAATCCTTCTCCACGGATTAAGTTCTAATTCATTTTTATAGCCTATTTCTACTTTTGGCCTCAGTTTTAGGCTCCCTTTAGTGCAAGTTACTACTTTGCAGTATATGGAACAGCTAAAACTAGCTCTGGCTTCAGCATCTTCATTAGACGGCTCTATTTATCCCACCCTCTCCACTTTTTTATTTTTTAATGAGCAACTGAATCGTTCCTCTTTTCTAAACATTGGCACAATTATTTTTTCATCCTTCCCACAAAAAATGCTCAATATGTACACTACAGTCTCCAAGAAAATAAATATTGAGTAAGTTTCTAAATCAAAATCATAAATTAATCAACACATCCATAAAACACTATCTACAATATCTGAAAAGCCAGTATTTGTATTACACCCTGTTACTATCAGTATCTGCCTACACTGCAATCAGGGGAACTTCTAATTATCCCTGTTTTTTCATCTGCAAAGCTGCCATCCTCTCAGTAACATTTCATAGGAGAGCTGGTTAAGTAATCAGTGCCATTATTTTTCAGCATTTCCACTCCAGAAGAACCATCTTTGTTATTTTCATGCACACCATGCCCCAGTACTACCTCAGTTATCTTGTTTCCAAGACATACATTACATAAATACCTTATTAAGAACAAACGCTCCAGTCGCCCACCTTCATTTTTGGGACAGCATCCAGGAGAGTCCCAGTTAAACCAGCACAAACCAACTAAAAAAGCACAGTAAACAAAAACTGAAATAATGCCATTTACTCTGCATTAAGATTTTATTGGGCTTACTCCCGCCTGTGATATTTAAGATGCATTAGGTTTCTCCCAAAGCAAGATAAGATCTTCGCTCCCAAGAGCTTACAAACAAATCAGTGTCAGGATGGGCACAGCGAGACCAGGGGTGTGTTGGTGATTTCTGAACAAGTTTTCCAGCCATGTGTGAGGCCACACCTTGCCAACACAAAGCTACACAAACACATGTGGAGCTACCAGAAGCAGCCTAATGCTGTAAGCTCGTTTCAGCAGTACTTCACATATTTTGGCAGTGTAACACACTACAACGCATCACGTGCGCATGACTTCATTAGCCACTCACAACTGACACGGGTGACAATGTCCAGATTGCCTAACATATTCCAACAAATTAGTCCATCAGAAAAACCTCAAGCACTCTTCAAGAATGAAACTTCATGACGTTTGTCATGGAAGAATGCTGCTTGCTGGGGCTGGAAACTCAAAAAAAAAAAAAAAACAACACCCAAAACCAAACCTCACACACTGCCACCTGACTGACAGCAAAGCAACCATCTCCTTTACTGAATAAACACTTTGAGACTCCCCAGTCACACCACTGTATCTGCATCTGTCGTAACTCTTGTCCACATTACAAGTTTTCTTTCCCTCTATCCCCAGCCCCAGTTGAGTCAAAGCACAACTGGACGACAGGGCAAAAACAAGTTCTCAGACGGCTTTGCTTTACTTGTCTGTTGTTGTTCAACAAGGCTTATGGACCTGTTTGAGCTCAGCCATCCCATGTAATCTCCAGAAAATGGCAACTGCTACTGTTTCTTGTGGGATCAGGAATTCCCCCAAGGAAAGCTTGTGCAAGTGAATCCCTAAGCAGCCCTGGCTCCTGGGTACCTCACAACCCAGCTATTCTTCTACACATTACTCCCCTATACAAGATGCAACACTAAAGTGTCATCTGTTTATGAACACTTACCTCAATGTTGTCAAGTTTCAACATTTGGCTTAGTTTTTAATAAACAAAATAATTTCTTTTCATCTACAGCAATCAAATACATGTCATACTATAGATGTTTTAACACTTATCCCTGCACAAGCAACAAAAACAGAACTCACTCTGGTTCTCCTCATGGCTCATTATTTTTCAGTCCATTTCATGAACTGTTAAATTCAGTGTACTACAGAAATACTTCTTAAGCAAGCATATTTAAAATGTTTTAGGTTGTACACAAAAATAGTCATAACACATCTGCTGCCATCCTCCCAGACGCACAAGCTCCATCCCTCCCCCCCACCTCACCACAATGCCTGCCACAGACCAGGGACCCTCCCCGTTCCCAAAAGCCGCATCCCCGCACAGGAGAGACGGGGTACACACACATCCTCACCAGCGCAGCCCTCCCTGCATACCCGGGCAGGCTTTTCCAGCCCTGTGGCTGCAGGGTGGCTGCACCAGACAGCAGCTGTCCCCTGTACAAGCCCACCTTGCCGCACAGCAGCGTCTGCATGCCGCCCTCCCCATGCGAGGCAAGCACACACCAAGAGGTGGGTGGTACGGTGCTTTAACAGGCGGCTTTAAATTAAAGATAGACACTGCACCTGCACAGCTGAAGCCATTTTTAACTACTACCGAACAGAAGGCTTTCAGCTACCATCTTCTGATTTCTCTGTATTTCTTTTCAAAATCAAGGGGGTCAAAAAGTCTAGGTCTAACACAAAAAAATAACACTCCACAAATACATCTGTTGTGGCAAAGGTAGCAAAGTCTCCCACATTATCAAGCGAAGGACAGGTGTTTCCATGCTGTGCTCATGCTATCCAGCTACACTTATAAGACTAAAATACTCATTCAATAGCTGTTAAATTATACCTTTTGAGAAAATAAAATAATTCCAACCTACCACATTTCTGCATAACCGAATCCTCTCTTGAGCCAAGTCATACTCTGTCCAAGTCTTCTGCAATTTTTCCAAGGAACACGGAACTGTGAGGCATCCTTCTGTAGCCACTTTTATGGCTTGCGAGAGCTGCTCCTCAAAACAACTGCTCTTATTCGCGTGCCTAAGTTGTAAGGAGGAAACTACATTTTACCAGGATTTTCCACAACACAAGCAGTTTAAAGATCAATGCTACTCAGACCCCTTGAACATACAAATTTTGATATAGTACCTGCCACGTTAATAACCTAGTTTCTTTCAAAAGGTAGCAGCAGCAATTTGTCTGATTCAGCTGTTTAATCTTTTTTTTGAGGAAGGACAAAGAATACATTCGTTATACCTCAGTACTGACGAGGCTGTACATGGAAATTCTCTCCTGCTCTTGATTTCCCTTTTGTCCTATTTCCTTCCTTGATTTTTTTTTTAACTCATCTTCCATGAACACATACACCAATATGTATATTCCTCCGTAAGGAGCTGATTTCTATTTCAAGTCTTCTTCCCACTGCAGCTTTGTCCCTTCTTTCAAAACTAGAAGGGTAATTTGGGCTACCCAAAGAGACAACACCTCTCACAGCAATACAGATACCTAAGGAACTCGGACTAACCAGTTACTTTTAACAACTTGCTGCATTTACTAATTAGCATCTTCCTTGAAGACAGAACTGAAAGCTTTTCTTGCAACAACTATGGTAAAGGAGCAGAAGCGAACTGAAATAATTTGATAAACAACAGAGAAGCAGGCAACTCAAATTCCAATGTGAGCTTCCAAAAACCTCAGGTTTCAGCTTTAGTTTTGGCAAATACTCCCCCTCCATATACAACACTATATTTTTCTTAGAAAATTAAAAAAACAGAACTTTTGGGAAACAAAAAAGCATGCATGACTTCCAAGAGATAAACAGGGAAATGATAAATAGTACTGTTTTAGGAAAAAATCCATACCGAACTTCTTTCAATGCCTTCAGCTTAGCAGCCAAACTTCTCATTTTCGTTCCAATGTAAGCACCTAGGGTTTCCTCAAAACTTTCAGCAGTTTTCCTGGACGCCTCCTTCTCTGCCTGCATTATTTATCATTTTTGGAGCAGGGTTTCAACAAAGAGAGGTAAAAATAGATCAACAGTCACAACAGTTAGCCAGGGTTACTAACAGGCAGACCACAACTGAAGAGTTTTGAAAACTAGAGACAAACACACACACGCACAGCTGACCCTCTTCAAAACACCAACCATATGCCTAGAAAGACATACAAACCAATGACAATAATTTCATTTTTTTTAATAGCTTTTCAAAGGTTAATGGTTCATTTCCTTCCTCTCATGTCAGTAGTGATGTGTTCAAGTGTACTTCTTCAATTACTTCCCATTCGCTAGCAAGTCTTCAGACAACACAGAATTTTTTCTTTCCTTACTGAAAAATTTCTACCCACTACTTAGGGAAATCAAGTCCAGGACTCACTAAACTCCTTACTCCTATCACTACCACACCTCAAAGTGGCGCAGCAAAACAAGAACTCTCACTGTACATACAATCATCCTGACCTTCCTACAAGGAACATTCTTAAGACAAAATCAGGAACATTCTCGACCCAAAAATAGCCCTCACACCACATCAGGCTACATTCCTTCAGGGGAAACCTACATGTAAAAGCTCTTGCTCTCATACCATGGAGATGCTTTTATAAACTCCACTTTAGGTAATGAAACACTGTCTTTAAACATTGTTAGCTTTTCAGACTTACTACATATTATACTAAAATAAAACAAACACACCAAGAAACAAAAAACCAAACATAGAAGAATTTAAACAGTTGTGTATTTGAAGATGAGCATCCAAAGTCTTATGACTGCAGGGTGGGTTTTTTTTAAGTAGCCCTCAAAGCCACCACTACACATCACCCTTCTAAAACAAATCATTGCCTATTGTAGTGTTTTTAGCAAGGAGCAAATATTTTCTCTTAAAAGAATATCCACAACCTTTTAAAGCAGTTTACTTGCGGTCAACACAAAATCATAATTCAAATTTGCAGAAAACAGTTTAAAAAAAAAATCATTAGACTATATATAAGAAATGCTTCTAAGAATTCCTTGCATTCAAGTCTTTTCTTAGCTGCAGGCATGTATTATCTTGCTTGTTAATTTAGTTTGCATAGAAGCGCACAAATATCGTAACTTCAGTGGATGGAGAATCTGTGCAATGACAGGTGTATGTAGAAACACAGCTGTAACTGATTAGCAAAGCTGGTTATGAGTAGTTTCACTCCGCAAGAAATAAAAAAGAAACATCTGTGTGCAAGTTCTGGTTTGGGGGTGTCAAAGGGATTTACACAATGGGAGATTTTCGTTTCATATCTGTAGAGGTAAAAGTTTCTACAACATTTTTCTGAATCCATGCAAACATAACACCTTTTCACATAATCTCTTCTTACTACTGCTGTTTATCACACTTAAAACCACTCACAGCATTTTTAAGCCTATCAGTTGCTATTATGAAGTACTGTGCTTCTCAGTGCTAGGACCTTACCCTGGAAAGAAACAGAAGCACCTTTTCTATTAAGTAGCAATGAACAAAATACTCATTTTTATCCGGTTCCAAAATTCCACAGCTGCTATGATTCTGTGATGCCTAGGAATTTTCAGCCAAACACACAAAAACCTGTTTTTCCCTCTAAGTGAGCAAAAAAAGGCAGAGATTACATCCTTATGCACAAAGACTATTTTTAATCACAAAGCGCAAAACTCCACGTTCAAACTGAACCTACATCCAAACCAGCAGCTGCATCAAGCAACTGTAATAAGATGAAACCATAAGACAGAAGCATTATCATAAACACTTGCAACCAGGATAAAAGAATCCTCTTCACGTTTCCACACACCTGAAGTTCATGTTTCAGCTGTTGAACCTCCAGTTCTAGTTCCTTCTGCCTCTGCAAGAGATTTACATTCTCCATTCTGAGAACTTCTTTGTCTTCAGACAGCTTCTGATCGGGTCCTATTTGTGCCAAGCTGGTGTCTGGCACTGAGGCAGAAGCTAACACTTTTTCCCTTTTAAAAATGCATTAAGATGAATTAATTAAAATTAAACCAAAACAACAAAATACAATAGCATGAAAGAATGCAGATTTGTTATTTCAGTAATGACTACAGAACGCCACATCAAAAAGACTACAGAAGCACCTACACAGTCATGCTTTACTTCTTCAGAATTTGTACCCCTCTCCACACCAGTCTTTACAAAGACTGTTACACAACACTGAGGCAAGAAACACACCATTTGAAGACAATCGTTTACATGCTTTCACTGTCAGTAATTCAAAAGTCTTTCCCATCCAAAAAACATCTTACAATACCACACTGCAGACCCAAAAAACTCAAGGGCCCTTGTTAACTCAAATCTTCTATCTACTAAATAAGCCACAGCACTTTAAGGTTAGTATTTTGGATCTATACCCTAAAAGTTACGTTTACCATGAAGCAGAGTGGTGAGAAGCCATCTGCTTCAGAGTACCAAAGCTCCACTAGACCCCACATCAACTTCAACCTCACCTGCATGGCTTTGATTACAACCTAGCTTCTCATTCTCAATTTTCTTCGCAGGCATACCACCCCAAAAATGCCTGTGATGTGAAAAAGTTAAAGGACACCAGAACATACAGAAATGGAACAGTGGATCAGCTGGCTGCCAGCTGCGCAAGCCAGTCAGGATAGCTTTGAACACAAAAGTACCTCAACACCGCTCACCACACACATACACAAAAAAAAGGCTATTTCTTTTTAAGATCAGATTCAGAGTGTATCTGTAACTCAGAAAACAGGACAGATCAGAGTATCAAAGTAATACAGGATGCGGCACTCTACTATAAAATTAGACTTTTTTGAAGAGCACCTCGCTCTGTATTGTATTTAACAGCACAGACTTGCCTACATGATCTAACTGTAAAACAGATTTGGAAACCATGCTGGTTATGTGGAAGGGAGTGCCCTCAGGTGATTCATTAAAATGTTCCACAAGCTCAAGTTATGGAACATTAGCAAATTCTAAACAAGTTTTCTTGGAAAACATTACTTCTTAACACCATCTCAACTTTCTGAATGCCAAGTACCATCTTTCCCACCCACAAACATTTTTCTCAGCAGCCTGTTGCCACGGCAATCCAAGCAACTGTAGGACAAGTCTCTTTAAAAAGATCTCTGACAACAACTGTAACTGCCAACTTACCACCACCTCTTGTCAATGTAATTACAAGTTGCAGAGACACCATTATCTCCTAAAGCTTACTTCAAACTGTAATTGCTGTCTCTATTTATTACAAGCACACATTGTTATATTCCTACACCAATAAATAACCAAAATATGTTGTCCAGCTAGTAAGTGTACTTCTAACGCTTTTTGTGTCCAGTGAGTTTTTAATAGAGGTAAACAAATAGGGGACAGCTACACAAAAGCTCAAGGACAAGCCTATGGAAATTACACAGTGCTAAGACACTGAGTTGCTGGAGCGTGTCCAGAGAAGGGCAACAAGGCTGGTGAGCGGTCTAGAGGACAACTCTTAACGACAAGCGACTGAAGTAACTGGGGCTGTTTAGTCTGGAGAAGAGGAGGCTGAGGGGACACCTTATCGCGCTCTACAACTACCTGAAAGGAGGGTGTAGTGAGGCAGGTGTTGGCCTCTTCTCCCAGCTGACTAGCGATAGGACGAGAGGCAATGGCCTCAAGTTGCATCAGGGGAGATTTAGATTGGATATTAGGAAAAATTTCTTTACTAAAAGAGTGGTCAGACTCAGCCTATTGGAATAGGCTGCCCAGGGAGGTGGTTGAGTCACCATCCCTGGAGATGTTTAAAAAACATGTAGATGTGGCACTTCAGCATATGGTTTAGTAGCAATGGTGGTGTTGGGTGGATGGTTAGACTTGATGACCTTAGAAGTCTTTTCCAACCTATGATTCTATGGAAATGAACACCATTGCATCGCCTGTCACTGCAAAATCTGCTAGAGGTCGTTCTGCAACCTTCGCTCTGAGCTAAGCTTTCCGGTATCTTCTCCTCCACTTACCAGCTGCCACCCCCTTCTACTTTTCCAAAATCTTGCATTAAGGTACACAAGAACAGACTGTCCCTGGAAAACCAATGATGAAAAAGCAGCTATCCAAACACCAACACTACTAATGAACAGTTTTCCACAGATTAATGCCCCAATTCCCATCACCACAGCATGAACAAACACACACAGACACACATGTACTTCCCTTCCATTGAGTACCAGTATTATCTGATGCTGGAAAGACAGAAATTGAACTTGCCCACTTCCCCCTCCATCTTCTTATCTACCCACATCCCAGTAACTAAGCTAATCAAATCACTCATACAAAGTTCTCTATGACATCCCACTGCCTTACTTTGGGACAAACATGTGGTTTCCAGTAAAATTCCGACTCCTTGCGCTGGCAGCTACTTGGTCAAAACGCCCTCTTTGGATGCTGTACAGCATGCGATCAGACTTGTTCACCCACAGCGGAACTGAAACCTTTGTCTTCCAATGCTGGTTTTGCATGGCATCTACTTTTCTCTCTTCCACATCTTTAGTGGTTCCTGGAGATGTGTATTTTTCAGCAAACCCTGCCTTGGCCACCTCTTCTCCAATATCTATTTTTTCATATTCTGCCTGGGCCATAATGGTACCGTCCTTGTGCTTGGCTTTGTGATGTATTTTTATTTCTTTTTCAAAAACTAGGCTGCTCAAGAACTTCTTCCCCTGTAAAAAAAAAAATACACTGAAGTTGTGCACTGGACACTGAATACTTTTTTTAGCTGAAAACAGCCATCTTTCTTCTAAGAAAAAGAGGACATGTTTAAGACCAAAACCCAAAGAGCTGAACAGATACAGCTTATGTTTAACACATTTGTTCTGAAAGAATGCTGTATCTGTACAACTACAGCTGCACCTGGTCTAATCACTGTCAATGCCAGACTAGACTTCAACATCAATAGTTCTCCCTCAATGTTCAGCTTTGAAGAATTCAGTATTGTTTTTAAGTGACAGAAGTCCAAAGTCACATCAACTCTCAACAGAAGCTGGCACCTTGGTTAGACTGGTTAAGTCTTTTAGATGATATTACACCAACTATTTAACACTATTATACAAAACAACATGAAAAAAAATTTTAAATTATTACATTAAGAGTCCTTCAATAAGTGGTCCAGAAGTTGAAATAGAACACAGCGATGGAAATCAGCAACGGAAATCTACCTTACTGAAACTACTAATTTAGAAATCAGGAAATGCCAGAAATGGCAGCTATGAGTTTCACCAGTAATATCAAAGAAAAACAGCTTTGAAAGACTGGGGAATGCACTCAAGACCTTCATATGATATTTGGGAGAAAGTTATTTCTTATTAACAGGGTTTTTTTCTTTTTGCCCCATCACTTTGAGAACAAGCTGGTTTTCCTGAAAATGAAGAATGGAAGGGGTGGTGGCAGGAAAGCTACACCGAGCAAGCAAATAAAGCTTTACCTCAAGCAACAAACACTGTCTAAAAAAAACAAACAAAAAAACCCACCACACAAACAAAACAAAACCCCAGAGAACTGACAACAAAGATTTTCACCTGTCTTAAGTAATCACATCAAGCAATGTCAACAGGACCACAGGGACGAGACCATGCAGAAGGGTCTCAGGATCTCCTCTAAACGACGGAGGGCTATGCCAAGGCAAGCACGAGCTTCCTGCTCCTCCTACAAGCAACTGGTGCTCCCAAGCCACCGGCCAGTGAAGCATGAGCAGTGCCAGCGACAAGCCTTGGAGAAGCATGCCATCAAGACTGTGGTGGCCCAGAAATGGAGACTGCCGCTAGTAAAACTCAACCAAGGGTCACCAGCGCCACTCAGAGGGCTCAAAGTTTCTACCAGTCCTGTTGGCATCAGCTCCTGAGCCTTTCACAATTATTGCTGACCAGGGATGACAGAGTTCCTACTACTACCGACATTCACCTGCTATCCTCTCTGCTGACCAAAAGTTTGTACAGTACCCAGGCACATGGCATTCAGGCAGCTCTCAAGTGAATTTATCACAGGTTCTGTGGCCAAGGGAGTTATTTTTCCCTCTAAAGAGGAAGAAACAGAGGTACTTCGTTTCCTCAGCACCAGAAAGAACTCGGGTCAGTCAGAATTAAACCCAAGGCCCTGAAGATGGTAAAAGCATACTCTAAAAGTCACCCCCCAGCACAAACATTTCAGTTTCTAGAGTATGTTCAGGGCAACAGATCAGACAGTGCTTCTCTGAGTGCCCTGCCTTCACAGTTAAACATCCAGCTCTTGGAAGACTCCTCCTGGTGACACCATGCTGATATTTGTATCTCTGTTACAGATCCCATCATCTAAGTGCTTCAAAACCCGTCGCTCACCTGGTCAAACATGTTTAAGTTCTGATCAGTTGGTATCTGCAGTCCCCAGAGTCTGTACTTCTTGGCAACACCCGGACACTGCAAGTTTGTTGGAATTTCAACTATGTCTGATCTATTCAGAACTTCAGAATTTCCATAGTCAATGTACAATACCTGACACTGCAACAATAATGTAAAATACAAATCAGCAGAGGTTACACAAACCTCCTACAGAAAAATGCACTGACAACTACTACAATGTAAGTGTTTTAACACATGCACATGTTGCAGAGATCAGAATCTTCCGTACTACACCTAGACACCCTTCACAAGAAGGAACCAAGTTAGAGAAATTTCTGAAGTTGGCACCTGTCTAAAAGTTTAGCAACAAATCTTTGCATAACAAGACAGATCTTTGCTGGCAATTTTTTTTTCCTCTAAGGGCTAAAATTAAGAAGCAATATAGAAGACTTTCTTCAATGGACAGACATGCAATCTAATGTTTCCAAGCCAACCAGCCTGCTTAGAAATTATAACGTTAAATAGGAACTACTAGCCTTCTGTATCACTCACCTAACGCTGATTAACAACTCTTTCAGGTCATTTGCATCAGTGCTAAGATGTCACACAAAGGCTGTCATTTTCACCACTCAGAAGTTTATAAATCAAATTATATTGCTTAACAACATTAACTACCACTCATGAATCTCTTCATTAAGAGACACAAACTGCACTTTGCAAGTACGTTATGTTTTGCCAGTCTTTTCATCAGCATTTTTCAAAATTACAGGTGACCTGAATTTACATCCCACATGTATATTTACTGTTTTTAAATACATTCACATAACAAGTTTCAAAAGGAGGAGGAGTTGCATTTATTCCTAACATCCTGCATAACCATTAAAGACTTTTAAAAATTGGTTCCTGCCTTTTCATTGTTGATCACTTGCTGTACCATACATCTGTACCAACATCCATCTTCAGAAAAACACCCACCATAAATCTGGATATTAGGAAAAAAAATATATCAAAAATAGCGTTCTGAAAATATAAGCATACCTCGAAATGGTATTTGTAATACATTACAAATCTTATTTTCACACTCTACTATAATTATTTCAACAGCACTATGAAAACAAATGCATTTGATATCCTGTCTCTTCTAACAATATATATACACTGCTTCAAAAACATAATCCTCTACTCCAAAAACAACAGCTCATAGAAAGTTTTGCAACTAGAAGAACACCAACATTTTACACAGCAAATTCCCATGGCTTTTCTGTTGATGTATTGCTACAATATGTTATCAACACTGCAGCTTAGTAAGCCCAACACGGGAAGAAGCCAGCCGCACCACAAAGATGGTTGATTTGCTGTTGGTGCATTTTCTTCCTTTTCAAGAGGAATGTAGAAGGTCCTGCACACACAAACAAGTCAGACAAATTGTTTTATTTAAACCTTATTTTGCAATAAGCCATCAGCAGTTCACACACAAAAACAAAAGTTGCCATCCCTCTTTGTATGCTTATCATAGAACTGCTATTAAATATATCCTTGTTATCTTTTTAAGAGTACTTTGTCCAGCACATTTAACATTACAGGTTTTTGTAAGATCTTCCGCACTTCTTGAGATGGAGAAAGACATCACTTCTCTGAAAAAGCAGAGCTCTCTTGTTAAAGATAACCCATAATGTATACTGGACAAAGAAAGAGAACTCAGCATTCTGTGTATTACCTTCTTGCAGTATTTCCCGAGTGTTAAAAAAAAAACCATCTAGCCTCTGAAATGCAAAAAAGATTTAAACTTGCTCACACAACATAAGCATTTTCTTCAGGAAAGCCAGCAGTTCTTAAAGACATCTTAAGAGAATATAACCCACGGCATAATCAAAGATCAAGAAAATACCTAAGAAAATGGTTGCATACAATTAAGGCTTTTACATCCAGGTGAAAAACAAACTCCACATACACACAAGCTACTTACCTTACTAAAATCAGGTTTGCCAAAAACCGCATTAGCCCCAGGACAAGCTTCTGCCAGCGCACAGCTTAATTTCAAGAGGTCATTACATGTACTGACATTCTAAGAAGCGTGGAGAGGGAACAAGTTATTAACTGTCAATTTTAATAGATGCTTGACAGCTTATAACAGCCAAAAATTAAATCAGAACAGTTGCACTGCTGTTGAGACAAGTAATGTCCCACCTTAAGCTTTCAATCTTCATGATTTTGGTTGTATTTATAAGCCTGCTCTCCTTTTCTTCCAAGAATTAATGAAATGGATCAGGGGCAGGTAATGTACCCCAGAGAAATAGTTTGCAACTAACATTTTTAACAGTTTCATTACCAGCTTCTGCAAGCAGTAGGCTTATTAATCATTTCTCACAGATTTTAGTAGGTATTTGCTGTTCTTTTTATTTCCTTAATACAAGCAAACAACAGCTCTGGCATACCCCTCATTTTCTCTACATGCAAGACTTGGGTTTTTGTTTGGCTGAGAGAAGCAGAGCCTTTCCAGTTACAACTCGGTCTCTGAACCACTGTAAAACTGGGTCAATTCCAGTACCGTCACATTTATTAGATGACATTCTACTTGTTAATTCAAAGGAAAGGATCCAGAGCAGGGAAGAAAACACTAGTGCAGCTACACATTTTCTCATCCTTAGAAACACACTGCTAATTTTTGTACCTTACAATACTAAGCAAGCTACTGCCACAGAGTCTCCGAATGCCAGCCTAAGAACCTAGAGGAGAATTACCTATGACTATTACATCTAAAAATCCCTTTATTAGCAGAAGTTTTTCCATAAACAGAATGAGTAAAGTGTGGTCCTCCTCCCCAAATTCCTATTAGGGACATAGCAAGCAGCATTACCTCCTCCAACCAGCTCACAGCTACTACACAGGTCTTAAGTAATCTGCACACGCCAATTAGCCAGCAGACCAAATAGAAAAAGCAAGCTTTGGTTGTCCTTCTGGGCTTTCCCCTCTCCCTGCTGCACTCCGCACATAAATGAAAATTACTCATTGTTTTGGCTTTTGTTTCACTTTTCCTCGCTGCCCCCATCCAACATCCTCCCGCCCCGTTACACAGAACATGAAGGGCCCCAGCATCTTTGAGCCATCTCCGCATCAAGCTTGGCTGAAATTGCCCCAAATGCTCAGCTGTTAGAGGGTGGGGGTATCCACCCACCAAAGAAACCCCAACTACAATTCAAACAGATGGAGGAACAAGCCTTTCGGACATTTCATAAAAGAGTAACTGATTTCAGTTTAAAAGGGCAGAGTAATACTTGCGATTCTGATATCTAAACTAACTTTTTTTTTTCCATCATCAAATGCTATCATTTTTTTCTCACTTCTACAGAAACCTGCTGGGGGAGGCAGGGGAGTGGGATTAAACACCTCAGTTAAAATCAGTTCTCTGAACTCACCTGTGCCCAAAATGTTACAGCGTCTTCAACGTAGCAGCCAATAACATCTTTTACTTGAGGGAGGGGAAGGAAAAAAAAAAAGAACAAATTATTCTCAGATGCGATTTAAATTATTCTCAAATGTCAGATCATGGTTTGTGCAGCGATTTTTTTTAAACCCCCCCCCACATTACCTTCGTCACTCTCCGTGCCTCCATCCATGACAGCAGGCCCTGAAAAGGTGCAAGATGTCGGCAGGTAAGAGAAATGGCGGCACTCCCCGAGGCGCTCCCCTGTCGCCTCT